CATAGAACAAAACTCCATCAGATACAGATAATTCAAGAAATTGAAAACTAAACACACACAAAATAATGATCTATTATGAAGCATGTTTGAATAAAATTTTATCAATATTTTTACAAAACACCAGTTAATTGTCAATACATTTCATCACATGACATTGTCTATCGAAAATGATATGAGAAATTAAAAGAAGATGATATCTGATCGGCTTACACTTTCACTAATCAAATCATCAATGATTATATCAAAAAAAGTATATATATATGTATATATATAAACTCATCCATTCGTAAATGGTTATTAAATTTTAATAAATAATCATATTTTATATAGTTAAAATCATGAGTCGGTTGAAGCTAGACCACTGTGAAAAACCTGGAAGCATTGGACGGCCGTTTCGTCCTATTGTGGGACTCCTCATTGGCTCATGATCTCAATCATACAAAATTACCAAAATCTCCACAAAACCGCCTTCTGAGATAATAAAATTGTATTATGTAATCATGAGATTTGTTAAATGTTTCAGTTTATGTTTTGTTTTTAATGATATTGCCATAGCATTTTAATGTCTGTGATTTAAGACAAAATATAGAAAACGCTTTAAATTAAAGTTAATAATCTGGATTAACGACAACAATATATAAGATTTTCCTAATCCATTTTCTATAATGAATAGCTTTTTGTTTTTACTTGGAAGTGATGTTTGCATTTTGTTGATGTTTATTTCTAGTAGTGAACGGTTGCTCAAATTCATGGATTGATTGAAGTTAGACATTAAAACCATCAGATGTCGGCTCAATAGTCAAGTGGTTAAGCGATCGGGCGCGAGACTGGTAGGTCCCGGGTTCGAAGCTCGCGAGGTGGGATGATGGATGCGCGCTGCTTAGAAGTCACACAATAAGACGAAACGGCCGTCCAGTGCTTTCAGGTTTTCCATGGTGGTCTAGCTTTAATTGACTCATAATTTTAACTATGAAAATACTGAAATCTCCACAAAACTCTTTTTGAGTTAATTCTTCATTAGTTATTTGTGAATTTTAGAATTTTCTCGTAGTTGATGTTATTGATTAAATTTTTCATTAAGGTCTTTTGGCATATCTATATATTTTGATAATATCATTTTATTGTATTTATTCAATTTCCAATTTTTAAGTAATGATATATACTAGATAATAGTAAAACTCAGTTAGCTTATTACATCTCATTACCTTGATAATTCTAGTATTGAGTTATTCAATTCAATTAGTGATTAATCGTACATAGTATAAAACACATATCGTCGGATCCAATCATATCGATTATTTATCTTTAGTTTATTTTTTTTTCTATTCATGTTTTATCTATTTATTTTGTAGAAAAAACAAAACAAACAAACAATGATAATTGAATTCATAGGAATGTTTAAAATAAGAGATATAAATTCTCATTACGTAACAACACATATATGAATCCATAATTATAGGAATCTAATTTACAGATTTTATTCATCACATTTTTGGATATAAAATATGAATTAAATTTAATATCCATGCAGTTAATAATGAATTTGTGGGTATCATTTCCAAGTTTTGATTTGATAATTTTGAATAAATTTAGCATTGGGTAGATTGTTATCAATAAATTAATATATTTGTAATATCCCAATGAGTAGAGAAATTAAATGTTCTGACGTTTCGTGACTCAGTGTAAGCCACTATTTATAAGCCATTATTTATTCTTTAAAGAAGGAGATTATACCGAGTCACGAAACGTCGGAAAATCTAATTTTTCTACACATTGGGATATTACAAATATATTAATTTATTTATAATATCCATGCAAATAACAAACATTAGTTGGTGATTAGTTATTCTTCAAAAATAAAACTTGACAATTAATAAACGTTTTATACGGTTGAAATCATGAGTCAATTGAAGCTAGACGACCATGAAAAAACTGGAAGCAATGGAAGTACTTAACTTCATGTTTAACTTTATGAGAGTTATGACTAATTTTTAAAAAGAAATTGTTTATTAAAAATATAATTGTTGTTTTACTAATTTTGTTGATTCAAGTAGTAAATATAGAATTGTTAAAATAATAAATATGAAAACTTCGACCAATATAACTTGCTCCACTGTTATAATTTTATATCCGGCTTTTTATCACGTGAATTATCCGCCAATCGGAATACGACTTTTCCGATCTTAACACTGTACCAAATCAATGAAGTTCAATTGGTATGAATAGTCTAGCGTCCTTATTGGTCCCTTGTTCGCCTAGTCTTTCCAATTGAGTCCAGAACACTAATGACATCTGTTATGTATATCATTTATTTCAAACATACTCGGTTTACCTACCAGACAGACAGACCGCATCACACCATAAAATAGAAAATAATATTTGTACAAGATCAAGCCAAATGTGGCTGTGAACATGGGAGACTATAATCAATAAACGAAATATAATTTGGGGACAGTAATTCGTCTAATAGTATTTTATAGGTCAAAATGAAGCTTATAATAAGATGAATATATATAGATTAAATTTAATCACTGAATCGTTATACATTAACAATATATGTGGATTAATAGTCCAACAATAGGTCCCGGAAGTTACCCATACTTGTGTCTTCACTAGGATATAACAAAAACTAATTAATGTTTAAAAACTCAATACTACAAAACATTTTAATCGTGAATATAATGCCGATAAATTTACAATTATTCTAATAAATAAATGGCTAATTAGATACTCATTGTTAAATGACAATTTTGTTAGTTTTAATAAACTGAACTAGATAATCAAAGATGGAATCTACGACGCGCGTTTCGTCCTATTTGGGACTCGTCAGTTAGATGTGCCTGAATCTCAAAGTTGATTTTCAACCTGAGACTCGAACCCAGTACCGGTTGCTTCAAATGCCATCGCGTCATCCACTTAGCTACTGAGACCTGATAGCCACTTGCTTGTGCAATGAGGTGAAGTTTAAATTCACTTAGTATTGTTTGTTCGAATCTTCCCATTGATGTTTAGGACTGTTATTGATTAGTCTCTAATTGGCACATGTGCATACTGTGCGTAATGCCTCGATATAGCTCCAATACAGAAGCTTTATGAGCAAAGATTGATAGTGGCTAATATAGGAGGCAATACATACAGTATGCACATATGGCTAATAAGAGACTGGTCAATTGCAGTCCTAAACGTCAATGAGAAGATTTAACCAAACAATACCATGTGAATTTAAACTAGGTAATGTTAAATGGTTATACATCGACATTATTTGATAGGCTTCTCATTCCTAATACACTATAATTAGCCAACTAACTTTGTTATCTGGAATTCTCTTCTATCCATAAAGCAATTTAATATCTCATGTAGAACAGTATTGCATTCTTTCTTCAGATCCTACTGGTTGTATATAAATTATATGTGTGAAACAATGTAAATTCGGTGTGAATGTAAGTTTAATATACAAAAAAATCAGTCTTTTAATTGATTAACAAAAACTTTAAAGCGTTTATTCATACTAGATACTGATGGAAAGTAATCATGCAATAAATGATAACAATTCTCTATCCAGGAACTCAAATTGTTATTTTTGATTTCATTCATATTAGTTCATACTGCTAATTTTTTATTTACTAATGGAAGTTGGTCAACCAGATTTCATGATTTATTAACAAAAACGACACGGCGGAAATTAGTGTATTTTTGATGCATAGAAGAATAGAACTGTCAAGTTTACTCAACATTGAAATGTTTTTATTACCTCTGACGAGATATAATCATTAACTTTTTAGTTATCGTCTATTATTTTAAGTCTGTAGTTTTCAAAGCGTTGATTATATACTTATAAGGCAATAAGCCGCGGATAGTTTAGTTCAGATTAATAAGCATTTAATGAATAAATGAGTAATCACATTGAATGATTATATCAAAGAATACATTAGTAATTTAGAGGTTGATTATGTTGGATGAAGACTTTTGAGTGAACTCAATAAAGAATTGTACTTACATTAGAGTATATAAATATTTTGTTATCAAGTACCGAAGTAAACACAGAAATTCAGCAGTTTATCAAATGTCAATCAGATATTTATATGGCATGAATGTAGGGCTCAATTTATGGCCTACATTCGTATGTTGTGAGTATGCAAAACATTATCTTTACTATCTCGGTAATTAGATAACGTCCATGTTTATAAAATGCTTAGAACACAGAGTTTTTGTTCTTTCGTCAAACTAGATTATTTTCTTTATTTTATTCCGAAGACGTTTCTATCGCCTGCCTAAAACTACTTCTTTATACCATTCTGTACTTTAGTTAGGGTGGAAAAAAGTTAAACAGATGTTGAATTATTTTCGACTTTCATGTAACTCCTTCACTTGTATTGAATGAAAAAGTCAATTATATTTTGTTAAGTCCATATAGGTTATTCCAGCCGCTGGACAGATCAATCTATTCATTCTACTCAAGCAGCATTCTGACCTTGTTAATTATTATCCACTTATCAACCTTGACTGTTTTTATATGAGCATATATTTGTGCACTTCTTATTCTATTCATCAGATGTCTGTAACTTATTTTTGTGTGACTATAAATATCGATTCACGCTTCGTTAAATCGATTTGGTTTACATGCCTTCTCCACTGCGCATCATTTGATTTACCCTCTTCTCTTCATTTCGTTCCTCTGATTGTCTGTCCAGATCAATGAGTGTACAAAATGAACGTATTTGAAATCCATTTTCGTACTTGACTTATTTAATTCCATTATTCACTAAGACGGATTAGGTCGATAATTATACTCGAGGATAGACGACATGAATATTTCAATAACAGTTACTTACACGATCAACCTATGGTAAAATTTTAGCCAACGACAGATATAACCGTGCATATAATAGATATGTATTTATAGATTCGAAATTAAGCAGTGCACACAGAAAGGACTTGATTATCGTTTGAAGCTTAAATTTCCCAAATAATTACGCAATCTCTTTTTCACTTTTTTCCAGGTTGTTGTGTATTTTTCTGTTATTCATGTTCAGTATGTTTAATGTATCGTGATTATGGAGAATGTTGTTGTGCACCATTAATTGTACCCGCATCTGAATTTGTACTGGGAACACAACATCGTGCACGTCAAAGAATTAAAGTAAGTTTATTATTGTGTTGTATTTTTCTCGATTATGAATTATTACTCAAGATTGTTGGTATTAATCTTACTTCGTACAATTATGATAAGAAAAATGATTCAACGAAACTTTAATTTGAATGTAGGTGGAAACACTCTAAACTCATGTCATCTATGAGATTTTATATGGAAAATATTTCTCACTATAGAAACATATAACCAATATTACTTAAAATAACTAAGAAGCCTAATCAATTTTTCTTATATTAATTACACAGAAACAAAACGAAATGCGTTTTAAAAAATGAGGTTTTAGAAGAATCTAAACATTCTTTTCCGATGGGTAGTTGTTAGAGCATTTTTGAGTTGTATGTACATATTCTAACAAAACATGCAATTCACAAATGATAGAGCGGTTTATAAGGCTTATGAGGCCTCAATAATAACGCTAAAATACTCGTGGGAATGGAAATATTTTATTTTTATATACAGCATGCATTGCTTTCATGAATGTGTAATGTTGAATTCAGCAGTATTTCTCGCCAGGTCTAAATTATTTTTTAATAAAACCTTTGTCAAGTGATAAAAGGATAAAGTACATTCAAACTAGAGTATAAATTTGATATCAGAATCCGTCTAATAATGTCAAGACAAACATCGAAATTCAAATGTAATACAACCACAAAAACATAAGATATTCTAATGCCATTTTATCACTGGGTGGTGATCAATGTCATGCGTGTCAAGTCCGTCTTTATTGCTGATCAAATGCAAAGAAGATGTCTAAAACACATCTTACTTGGTAGAAAAATCAATGAAACATTAAAAAATTTTATAAATTAAAAATTAGATCCCCCCATCAGATTTCAATAGTTTGTGATCCCATGTTGGGATATCCCACATTAACGTCGTATTTAATTCTAAGACAGTGAACGTTGCGTGAAACACAATCACGGGATAATGAAAATTCTGATACTAAATGTTTTGAGAATATTGTATTTCATTCGACAACACCATAATTTATGGAGTACCTTTTAGCAACGCTACAGTGACCTTGAGAAAATTCGACGATTTACTAGGGTCTAAAAAGGGTTGTAAACTCGCGTGAGGAATTAAGATTAGAATTTTGAGTTGTAACTTAGGATTAGGGATTAGACACTAACTGACACCAGAAATAATGCCAAAATGCTATTTAGGTGTATGAATGAGTGAACTTTGAGCCAAAATCAAGGACATGCTATCTTTGGCTTCTGTGGTTTGTTCATAAATTATAGTCTCGTCTTCGATTTATATTTATTTTGTAGGCAAGAAAATGAATTGTTAGGGTTTAAATTTCGGTATGTTTGCCGAATCACTGTATATACTACTGTTTTAGTTAACATATTACGGTTCAAATATACAAGAAATAAGCTGTACAACACACCCTGAAAAGCAAAGACAGACATGTATTCAAAAAGTAGCTTAACTAACGTTATTGGTGAGTACATATAGAATAAGTAATGAACCGGGACTGAAACCTTCATCAGACGCTTGCCTGGATTTAAGACCCGTTCATTAAATAATTGATTTTTGCAGCGATTTATTAAAGGGTTTGCTATAAATTTGATTGAATCCGACAATAGTCAAACATTCAAAGTGAAATTCCAATAATGAGGTAACGGATTTTTAATCAAATGAAACTCGCTCCACTGAATACTTTAATATGGAAACTATCTACTACAAAGTTATCTTTTGTTTATAAATGGACATTTCTGAGGACTCAAGTAATTGTGTGATTCTATGCGGCTGGAAGGAATCGATTACTTTGATTCTATCTATCATTATCATCATCATTGTCAGCGTAGCAATGTCAGGTGATACTTTAAAGGGTTGATAAGCTAACAGAAATTGATATTTCAGTTGAAAAATGCTTGTTAGATTACAACTATATATTCATTTTAATTATCTATTGTTACATTCATTTTAGGGTGGAATAGCATCAGATTGCTGTCAGTGGATATGGTGTTCTTCATGTTATGTATGCAGACTAAGAAGAGATATGAACTATACATTAAGCCAACTAGGCACTTTAATTTAGGCATCCATGTATTACTTACAAATACGATAAATATCTATGTACGTATAAACAGACACCTAATTTCGATTTGTAATTTAACATGAACATTTCCCTATAAATACAAAGTTCCTTTTAAATTATTTATTTTATTTATTTGGATGTCATGTAGCTAATAGTTGGGGTAAATGGAGATTTGCATTAAAATTTTCGTTTTTTCCTGGAGATTCTTATTTATTTATTAAAAAAAGATCAGTAAAATATATTCTTTTAATCAGTTTTTCATCATGACTCTACACTACTTGAGTTACAATGTTACATAATGATATCATGGCTTCACAAGTAATTACAAGACTAAAGTCAAATAACCAACGAAGTAGTTGAAATGTTGTGGATAAGATAATTACAAATAATCAAGGTATTTATATGTGAAAATTATATTTGAAATAATCTCAGTAATTGAAATTCAAATAATTCCAACGTTTCGTCCAGCGAACGTGTGTGAAAGTCGTCAGGATGAGGATATAATGTCTTCTCTATAATCGGCGCCTAATTTTTGTCAAACTATTCGTTCTAATACTGATGAATATTTGTAAAAATCAAGGCAATCATTTGTAAAAATTAAAAATATGTGATTTAATGGTTGATAAGTTTCATAATATTAAACGATAGAATTCACAAAATATTTTGATTTGAAGTGAATCTAATAATATTTACGTAAGACTGAAGAGACTAATCTTAAAATTACACAAGAATGCGAAATTAAATATAACTTTGGAAAATACCTGAAAAATTTATGTATTATCATCAATGTGATATAGGCTTCTCTTGTTTGATCTGTGTCAATGATCAAGGTAGAGAAAGGTCTTGTACAGACTTAATCCAAGTATAAAGGCTAGGTTTCTGAATGTGAATCTTCGTAGCTTCGGCAGTGTGTTAAAGATGAACCAGTCAATCATGTTATCAACTTGATGGAATACGATTTATAATTTTGTCTGAATCAACTTAATGTTATTCTGATTTATCCTGATTGTCTGGTATATAGTTTATGGTGAAACTCTTAAAAACGCGTCCATAATTTCTGAGGATTTTTTCAGATGCCAAGTTTCTACATGCGGTACAGTAAGTTTCAAATGTGGGCAAAAATCCATGATAACTTAAGAAAAACGTGTTTGTTTCTGACGTCCGTGTTAATAAAAAATAAATTCACTGCATGGACATATCCATTAAATGTGTGAAGATCATCGAATGTACTTCATATTCATAAACTGTTCAGTGTTGTTTAAATTTTAAACTTTACAGATTGTGAACGACAAATTCTGTCACCAACGAGTTATCGTCATATATCACTACTTTAATGATGCAGAGATTACAGATAAGCCAGTTTATATCACATAAATCAGTTCAAATGTTGTTTAGTTATCATCGACATAAATTTTGGTATTCATTTGAGATTACATACGAAAGTAATCTTTATCCATTAAATTATTATATTATTTTTAGGTTCATATGAGGTGATTTCCAAATTAATATTGTTTTACATCCTAGCGTCTATGAAAATTTACATGGATTAATAATAATTGATCAAGTTTTACAAGTTTATTTACTTGTATGTCATTGTAAGATGATTTTTGTATGATGAATTAGGGCACAAAGTGAAAAAACGACTCTATAAGTAGCTCCACTGAAATTTATTGAGTTCCGCCCGTGTATTTATAGTTTGCAAGAAGTTGGTACTGACTGACAGGCAGGGAGGATGATAACATTTTGACTTTCATAAGTTTTCTTTATAATACGCTATTATATTGTCCACATCCCATGTACGTGTAACACAATATTAAAGTTCTAATTCGTTCATCTTCAAGTTATAGTTTCGTTCTCATGATAATTTGCGTGTATTCAAAAATCACATTTGTCTGAGGATAAACTCCACTTTGTCAGATCATTTGAGTTTATTGTAGTCAGTAATGGATCTTATGTTTTCACTTATTTAGTCACTCATTTGAAGATATTTGGGGATATTTTTTAATACAGAATTAACTGGAAGTACGACCTGCTATTTCGCAATTTTTCGCCTATCATAACTGAGTGCTTTATGCTTGACACGTTCGTATCATGAAGGAGTGGTACTTTTGTCGTAAAAATCTTTACATTTATCATGTAAGCCAGGAAAAACGACAGCGATTGAAATACATCATGCATGATGGATTACGACTGTGTAAATAGTAACTCCCACTTCATTATGATTGGTTGCCGGGTGCAAGGTCAAAATTTCGATCGAAAGTGGAGTTTATCCTCACCAGTGAATTTGTCGGTCGACTTTTGAATAAGTTTTACAATAACTCAAAATTGTTGTCATTAAACATTATGATATTTCTGAATAACCGTATAGCCAACTATATTTAAAAGGAACTAAATAAGTCCAAAAATAAACCAGAAAATGGGAAAATACTTAGAAAACGATCTCGGAACAAGCTAATAGGTCAACATAGACGTTTCATATTCTGAAATAAACAACTGTTGTTCCTTAAAGTTTTTAGACTTTTTTCGCGTTTATGATGGGTTGATAACAGAAAATACTAATACTCCGAACATTATCAAAGTAAGATCAATCCATAACAATTAATTAAGTCACATGGATCTAGCAACAGACTATTAAATCCTAGTGTTAAATCTGTCGGTGGATATTATACTGCTGTCTGTGTCTATCTCTCAACCATCACCATTAATTTGAAATTTGTAAAAAAACATTGCAGTATCCTGTAAATAAAAGCAAATAAGTGGTTATGAAGTAGTGATTAACTATTAATTACCAATTTCTTGATTTCATGGTAATTTTTGTGGACATGGGAGCTTTATTTGATATATAAAAGTTCATTAACTGAGAACTATTATGTAACAGCTTTACAAAAGTATCTAGTCAAAATATACGCACATACTAGATTGATCAAGATGTTATGATTATCATAAATATACCAATCACTTCATTCATTTCAGTTTTATTTGAATGAAGTTGATTTAACTGGCAGAAGGTTTGTTGAGATCATATTCACTATCTCTCTGACAATATCTGATCAAAAACTAAATCCCATAACTCTATTAACAACGTTTAAGAATGTCATCCATTTATTTGAGTATAGTCATCTCTAACTTTCTCATTTAGCTTTGAAAATTTAGTCAGTCTAAAACGACTCAGTTTAATTTTTTAAATTTAAGTTTTTGATAAAACAAAATTATGTTGATTGTTATGAGGTCATTCTGTCTGTAAAATAAGATTTCGCTTATTTCGGATATCAACAAACAATATATAAGGTTTTTTTGTGTAACAAAGTCACACCCATTGAATGAACCATCATTTTAAAATGATCTATTTTATTTTGTTGATTTATACGATAAATATTTGGAAAGATTTATTTCTTTAGAAAACAAACGGTCTACGTTTGTGGCACATTCGAGAATCATTTTATTCTTCATATATATATGATAAATTTGACCTTATTGTAACTTTATGAACATAAATTTCGTTATCATAATCCGTTCTTTCTTCCTTGTCTGATAAAAAACCAATACCTGAAATTTGTGTCCTTCTTACTAGTTTATATAATTTATGATAATCTTTTAAATGACCAGTACAGTTATATATTTGTCGACAAAACGTGACTATATTGAGTGACTAGATGAAAATGATTTCTTACATTGGATATTGTCTATTCAAATTCTAAAACTAGAAAATACACATTAATTACGATTATTGATGATAATTTTATTTAATAATAATCCTAGAATTCATAAAGTTTTCCTTTATGGACGCCTATTCAAAAGTTTAATAAAACAAAATTCCTTTGCTTCAGCTTTTCTTCCCCTTTGTAATCAAATCACTTGGCGTTTTGCTCTAAACAAACTGTCATTGAAATTCAGTAATGAATGCTCCTGTGGATATTTTTAGAGTGAGTTATGTGATTTTAACAATTCGCAAACGAAGGCGTTCATTGTCTGATTATATATATTGTAGTACATTTATATAGCTTAATAAAATTGGAAAGAGAAACATTGAGAATCAAGGAGGAATAGATAGACGTTCTGTCATGATTTACAAGTTTTTAAAAGTTTCGGTTCACCGCCGAACATAGATTGCCATTTAGAAACTCTCAAGTTAGATTGCAGTAATCTAGATCCTTCATTAGTATAACTTCATTGAATAAAATGGTTAAAAAGTGTGTGTGTCTTGATAAAGTTGCTTCCTATCAATCATCTAAAATATAATTATTTACCGTACTGTCCACAATTGATTTAGTTCGATTCAACCGGAAATTATTAGTTCACATTCATTTTACTATAAACACATCTAAAATTCAAATAACCTCGATCTTGCAATAGATTGAAGTTTTCAGTTAAGAAATAGAAATATGCACGCGACATTTTCATCAAATCAAATTTATATATCAGGCAGTCGGAGGTATTTGAAGTTAAACGTATATTTCATACTAGCTTGAACTCGATAATAAGGTCTACTTAAAATCCTGAATGAATTTTTCTCTTTTTGTTAAATTTAAATCTAGTTCACCCAGCTGTGTAGTGTGAGAATTATGCGAAATAACTAACCTTTTGTATTTCCGAGAAATTAAAATTTAATTAGACAATGATATGTTCATTTTATTTTATATTTTAAATCACGTTTTATTGATCGTGTTTTAAACTAGAGTTAATTGAACCTATGGTTACATTACGATTTGCTTCATGAAATTCAGTTCATAACAAAAGATTAAACAAATTGGTTAATAATCGGTACTTAAAGACCAATCAGTTGTCAAATATCTATATTTTCTATTTAGCACTTAAACATTTTCATAGCACGTTTTTTCACCTTAAATTAGTCATAATAAGTAGTAAATAAGTAGCAAATATCAGTAAATATCTTTAAAATGTAACTTTACAATTAATAATTAATTTCAGTAATAATTGAGAACAATTAACTCATAATATCCACACACCCCTCTTTTCTGATATTAAATAATTAATTCTTTAAAAAATTGAAGTTTTACAAAAAAAAACAAAGTTCGTAATACTCATAAGAAAAAAATACAGAAAATTGATTTTTTCATTCTTTTTTAATTTATTAAAATTATTAAAAATAAAGAAACTTTTGTATCCCTGCCCAACACGGATAAGAAAAAAACAACAAGATTGAAATTAACAATATTTAACGTTATGAAAAAAAATCAACAAACTGAAAAGAAAAAAAATTATTTTCAAGATATTTTCTTTTAATCTAATTTTTTCATTGAAAAGAAAAAAAAAATAAGTCGTTGATTAAATTCTGATTCATTTCATATAAATAAAATAAAGTTCTGTAAAATAAAATGAATATGAGAAAAATGAATAGTTAATTTTAAATTATTTAAATAATAAAAATAATTAGAAGCAAAGATGGATAGTAGCTAGCAATGGAATCCAGGACATAAGTTTCATCTTATTTGAGACTTATCAGTTGGATGTACCTTTATCTCATGAGTTGATGTTCACTCTAGGACTCAAGCTCAGTACCGTTTATTTCAAACATTAACTCTGTGATGCAGGTTCATCCACCTAATGAGTTCTAAATAGGACTAAATGAGCATTTTGGATTTCACTGTTAGCCACTATCCATCATGGCTTATAATACATGTGAATTAAGTCCTTATCGAGGCAATACACACAATATGCTTATATATCAATAAGAGATTGAACAGTTGCAGTTCTAAACATCAATGGGAAGATTCAATTAAGTCAATACCAAGTAAAATATAAAAAAGTTGTCTTAAAAATATAATAATTGTATGTATACAAACCTATAGTAATCCCATTAAGAAATTAATTATTAAGTTGAGTTTGTTATAATTTCAGAATTTTAATTAATTAAAATTTACATAGACTAAAAAGAACATATTTCATAAAAATGATCATCATACAATGATAAATAATTCTTATGAATCTTTTGTTTGATTTTATATTTTTGAGATTATGCAAATTGGAGTAAAGTATAAGTCCACTCTATTATTAGTTATAACAATAATCTTTGTTAAACAGGCTTTAAGATATGATAGTTTTTTTTTAAATAAAAAACATATCTAAAAAGAAATTAGTGTTCTTCGTCGAGTGGAATAAGCACAAAATAATTCGCTATTAATTTATGATTCCAGTATAATTTAAGTCATAATAAGTAAGCATTTGAAGTACTTTTCTATTCAGTCAGTGTTATTTCTTGTTTTTAATGGTACTATAAACTCTTGAACCCTTCAGTAACGGATTTTGGTTGATCAGTATAGTTTAGTTTAAAGCAAATATTTTATGTATAAATCAATTGATCAAAATCAAATAATAAGTTTTTAATGTGTTTATGATCCTCTGAAGGAGTTGAAAATGTTAATCGGTTCCAGTATTAAAATCAGCAATACACAATTTTTCACTATGTAATTATCTTTTTAACTACCAAAATGAAATATTATATTCATTTTGAAAAGCGGATATCAGAGAACATACTCTGATTACTGTGAATAATCATTCAGTACTTTTAAAATGCCTAAGAGAAATGAGAATACTATACCGAATAGGTTTTTGGTCTGCAGAACCAGAAGTTAAGTTATCGATGAAGTTTAGAAAAGATTGTCATCATATAATATTTTACCTGAAGCAGTAGAAAATCAACAAGATATGAATGACGGATAACCTCAACTTGTTTATTTTTAATTAATTGCGTATTCAGTGCGTAAATACAGATTCATTAAAATATTTATCACTAAGTTTACTAAAGGAAAACTTTAGTTCTGAAGAAATCTGATGATATTATGTGAAACATGTATTCTCAATTAATCATTTAAAATGCTATGACTTTTAAGAATACTGGAAAAACGATCGGTTAGTTCAGTGGACTTTAGTATTGAAATCATTCCGCTTATTTTACTTTTATTTGAATAAAATTTTTCTTTGAATACTTCAAACGTTTAGTCTTTTATATTTTGAAAAATAACTCCCATGATTGCAATTTTTTTATCTTTAGTAGTTAACTGACTGAAAACAGCATCAGTCTTTACCTTATCCCTTTGTCAAAAAACCATATTTTTATGAATCAATGTATAATTACAGGTTAATAGACAAGTTTCTTATAGCATTGGTTAAATTTAGTAATAAATATTACCTGAAATTATATGGAGTTCACACAACCTTGGTACCTGAAATAACATTGAAAATCCCTGGAATAACTTCTGCTTGAAATGTACCTGAAGGCACAAGCTCTCCGTCTAACATTGTGGTGACTGAATCTTGGGAATATGGTTCTATTCGTAGAGCACAAACTTTTACAATATCCATGTTAGATGTTGATTGTAGGCCTTGACCACTTGACAGTGCACTTCCCAAAGCTAGTAAATCAAATCTGAAATATAATTTTGTAAAAATAAAATAAGATAATGGTATTAATTTGGTCTAACGTATGCATTATGAAACCAGGACCTGACACAAAAGGTTTGTTATAGTGTTACTTTCCAAATTTCATTTAGAATGTTAATCGATACTTGGCTCGTTTAGTGCGCCTTGTTGGTTTCATGATTTCCTAGGACAACTCTAAATGACCATATATAAACAAATATATTTGTAAAGAGTGTTTCACTAACACGAAAAAGTTTTCTTGAATTTTCTTGTCTTATATTGTTACCCAGCTGATCTATAAGGTTAACTATAGTCATGTTAAATCAGTATTTATAAACAATTTGACTGAAGCAACTTTCTCATAGTGAACCAAATAAAATGATTTTTCAATTAACAGTAGATCGCTTTACTGTAAAATAATTGATTTTGCATATTGTGAATAATATTATAAAACAGAATTTACAACATTTTAAATAGTGGAATGGTTATTTTACCATTCAAAAATAGAATGAACCAGAACTAATGTCAATATGAAATATGTTGTTTCATAGGGAAATTATGAAACTAAGTTCCTTGAAAAAGCTTAGACCAGATTGCCGGGTGAAACGTTGGATTTACTTAAAATTTATTCGCTGAGATTTTACAAATATATATTATTCCTATTTAATGTCTTACATCAACTCGGCACCCAAATGCTGTGAAACTATTCGCTTTAATTTCAACGAAAGTTCTTATATAAGTTTTATAGAATGTTAAAATGTTTAGTTATTTTATAATATCAAATGCGAACCAAAATAAATATAAACCAAATAAAGATACAATAATATATTCGTTTTATTCAATATCATGTATATGATTACAGTAAAGAATTCTGAGTACCAAATAAACACGTTTGCAACAAGTTTCAATTTTATACGCACTAAATTTATGGATATTTAAAACGTTTTTAAACCATGATACTCTGTTGTTTCCATTTATTCGTAAATGTATACAGTAAGTTTTGTTCCAGTGACATATTTTATATTATCATATACATTTACTATATGAATTCTATGGTAACTGCCTTTCTCTTCTCTATAAACAGAGGAAGAAGGATTTTATGAACTACCGTTGTGGAATTTCTTCAGTTTCTCAGAAATTAGACTAGCTATAGAATTAAGAACGCGTTGATACATACAATAAAGAGACTGAATACTTTTTCTAACAGGTATTAAAAAACAGGAAAAATAAAGGGCACTAGATGGATTTACGAAAACATGAAGGACCATATGTTCGGGCAGCTTGAATGACTTCTTAGTTATGTAATATTGAAGTAAAAGAGAAATTTAACTAATGTGTTTAATATAAATGAATTGTTATTCCATGCTATTTTAAAAGGGATTTCAGATAAACTTAGTTGCATTTTCGGATTGCTAAGATAAACAAATAAAACTAATTATTGAAATATAATCTATAAAACAACAGAAAACAAAACCATGAAAAGTGCACAAATAGCGTTTCACTTATATCAGTTATTAATAAACTCGGTTTTTATATCTTTTTAGTGTCAGCATAGTTTTAAGACACACAGTTTAATTTTTTTGATCCTACATTCATTAACTGACAACTAATATATTTATGATCTCAATCAAAAGACTCAATAATATCTACAACCCTGTACTGATAATTATAATGTGCACACTAGTGATTAGATTCCTGATGTAATTCTCGAAGGTCCTGAGTTAGATCCCATGTGCGGAATCATGAGTGCGCACTGTGAGACTTCCATACTAGGATGAAACGGCCATTCAGTACTTCCAGCTTCTCAATAGTGGTCTGGCAATCATCGATTTATGATCCTAATCAAAAACTAATTAATCTCCACAACTTCACACTGATAACTAATATATAATTGAAGAGAACACAAATAGTTTTGCTTTTTTAAATGTTACTTTGGCAATTAACATCTAAAGCTGCAGAGTTAGAGTATACTTTGATGCGAAAACATCTCATTAAGAACTTAAGTGAGCTATGAAAATGCCCAAAGAAAACTGTTCTTAATAAATATAGATTTGTAAGTATTTAACTAGAATTTAAAAACATATCAGTCGACCTAATTCAGATATTATGATGACAGGTTCATGACATTTATTTTGAATGGTATTGGAACCATTGATAGGAGTTTCTTCATTGCTGATAACAGTATTTCAGTACACATAAACACAACAAAGTCCATGCTTTCACTTATACTGAGAGCCAGTAATTGTCTTGTGCTTACATTTAGACAGTTAATTCACCACTTTTGTGGAAAGCTAGATTAAGTAACAAAGTCTAGGTCATTTTTAGTTTTATTCAGTATATTTGACCCTTTATTGTATTTTGAGATCTTTTGACTGTATTCTCCGTTACATCTTATTAAAGCAGATTTGTAAAACAGTAAAACGTTAAAATCATCGAAAATAAGATTAATTATTTATTGAAGGATTTCTTCAGGATGCTGAGCGTAGCAATGTACTACAATTTTAAGTGGATTAGAATTGAAAACAAGTAACTTTAGTTAATGTAGGTTTATCATACAGCTGTAAGTTCAATGACAACCGCAAACTGCTTACTGATTACTGATGACCGTATCAGATGTGATTGCAAGTAAACTGACTCAAAGATTAAGTTGTGGAATTTGCAGCCAAGTACACCGACTAAGATAATCAAATGATTACGTTCTGACTCCAGATATTCTAAGACACTCGCTCACACATAAAGCATCAGCTTCGATAATCGGTTGGAAATTAATATTTTTAAAACTGTTATCAACCGTATATATTTATGTATTCTATAAAAATATTCATTAATGCAATGATGCTGAATTGTATTTTTGTTATTAGTAAAATCTAGATGTTTGCTGATAAATGAACTGAAGCTTAAAATAATCTCTGAATGTTTTCATATAGGTTCCTCATGAACATAGTAATAGGTTCAATTTATCGAGTCCTTGAATTTTTATGATGCTAGTCGTACACCTGAATTCCCTATTAAACAAACAATAGATGATAGAAATCTATTTTGAGACCATTGCGAAGTACTTTTATGACCAGTTGAATAATAGAGGTCGTTTTCTGAGGTTTATACAAATGAAAGTCAATTTTTTTCTCTAATGGTTACTGAATTTTAATTTTTCTCTTGATTTTCTTTATGTAAATTAATTATTACTCTTCAATCAACCCATGGTGATTTGAATGTCGACTTCTAGTATTGCTTTCTCGATTACTTAATTACATTTTTTATTTGTTGAAAACCAGGTTTAGGGCTTTATTTTGTGGAAAAACACCACTTTATCAGAAATACTAATTGTACTGCAATCTGTAGTTTCATAGAAAACTGAACTTCAATAAAAATATTTTGTCGGTTCAATGCTTGAATAAAACATCGAGCAGCTATTTTATATATTCTTACTAAAATACTTACTTACTTACGCCTGTTACTCCCAATGGAGCATAGGCCGCCGACCAGCTTTCTTCAACCCACTCTGTCCTGGGCTTCCTTTTCTAGTTCTACCCAGTTCTTGTTCATTATTCTCATGTCTGTCTCAATTTCTCGGCGTAATGTGTTCTTTGGTCTCCCTCTTCTCCTTTGGCCTTCAGGATTCCATGTGAGGGCTTGTCTTGTGACGCAATCAGGTGATTTCCTCAAGGTGTGCCCAATTCACTTCCAGCGCTTCTTCCTGATTTCTTCCTCTGCTGGAATCTGGTTTGTTGTCTCCCACAGTAACTTGTTGCTGATAGTGTCTGGCCATCGGATCCGAAGTATCTTGCGTAGACAACTGTTAATAAACACTTGTATCTTCTGGATGGTGGCTTTCGTAGTTCTCCACGTCTCCGCCCCATACAGTAGGACTGTCTTGACATTTGTATTGAAAATTCTAACCTTGGTGTTGGTTGACAATTGTTTTGAGCTCCAGATGTTTTTCAGCTGTAGGTATGCTGCTCTTGCTTTGCCGATCCGCGCCCTCACATCTGCATCTGATCCACCGTGTTCACCAACAATGCTGCCCAGATATGTAAAGGTTTCTACATCCTCCAACGCTTCTCCGTCAAGTGTAATTTGATTGGTGCATATTGTATTGTATCGGAGAGTCTTGCTTTTCTCTTTGTTTATATTGAGACCTACTGCTGCTGAGGCTGCTGCTACACTGGTCGTCATCTCCTGCATTTGTTGTTGCGTTTGTGATAGAAGAGCCAGATCATCCGCGAAGTCTAAATCATCAAGCTGCATCCTGCCTGTCCACTGTATCCCGTGATTTCCTCCAGATGTTGACGTCTTCATGATCCAGTCGATGACCAGGAGAAAGAGAAAGGGTGAGAGTAAGCAACCTTACCTTACACCAGTCTTTACTTTAAACTACTCGGTGAGTTGTCCTCCGTGGACGATTTGGTAGTTTAGTCCATCATAGGAGTTCTGTATGATATTGACTATCTTCTCAGGCACGCCGTAGTGTCGAAGAAGCTTCCATAGTGTCGTCCTGTCCACGCTATCAAATGCCTTCTCGTAGTCGATGAAGTTGATGTAGAGTGATGAATTCCATTCGATTGATTGGATGACGTTCATTGTAATGCCCTCTCTCTTTGTTTTGAAGGAGGCTTTGATGATCCTTGGTCCATGAGATTCCGATCCTATAAGTGCATTTTGTGCTTTTCTGGACAGCATCAATGCAACTCCTTGTGTATGTGGGGCATTTTCTTCTTCATGACCGGAGTATAACAGAAGTTCTCCTGAAGACAGTCGTTGTTGTCCGACCTGCGTCCAATGTGTTTCGCTGATTCCAAGAACCTCCAGGTTGTATTTTCTCATTTCTGCAGCAATTTGGAAGACTCTTCCGGTCTCCCACATTGTTCGGACATTCCATGTACTTATAAAAATTGTCGCTCTGGTTGTAAGAAGGTGCATCGGCCTCATGACTTCCGAAGGAACTCGGCTTTCATCATGAGACGTCATTATTCCTTCTACTCCCAGGGCAAAGTTTGAATGGTGTGAATGATTTTTTCTGGTTAGCGTTTTTTTAGCGAGTTGATTTTCTACGGGATGGGGTGGCTAACCCCATGCCCAACCCTCCTCCTTTACCCGGGCTTGGGACCGGCAGTAACCCCCAGAGGAGCTACAGGCGGAGTTTTTATATATTCTTGAAACAATGAAATACATTATGAATATAAATTATAGGACATTCACACGTAATCGCCTATAAGATCAATATCTTCACATAAATATTATGATCCACTGAACACATGAAATATTTACTTCTTTTTTCAAAGGATATTCTTAATGTTACTGAATCGTCCGTTTTAGTCATTAAGCAGTATTAATTGATTCTTTACAGATTGTAACTTTCCTTAAATTAAGATACAGTTCCAAAAAAAAACCGTCTTCAACCCCTCCGGGGGCTGCTGCCGGTCCCAAGCCCGGATATGGGAGGAGGGTTAGGCATGCGGTTAGCGACCCCATCCCATAGAATACTAACTTACTAAAGAAAACGCTAACCAGAAAAATTATTAATACTGTTGGATGGTAGCTTAGTGATTTAGAGTTTATACATTCACATATGAACATATGAAACAGTTCCAAAAAAAAAACTTTGACATACCAATGAATAAACATAATTCATTCCAAATTGCACTTTTCTCATAGTACACTATTTGGAATTTTTACATTATAAAACTGTTCAAGTTAAAACTATCTAAGCTTATTTCCAGTATTAAGTTCATGCAGAAGTTAAAAACGGTATTGTACAAATATTGGGTATGCTTTATTAATATTTGTATGTAAAACAGTTTGAATAAATGCATACAATTTAGATTTTATATTAATGTAAACTATACTTTATCCATAAAAATCTGTTCATAAAATAATTTGTATCAACCAACCTTGTTGTGCTTTCATGCAGAATCAATAAATTTAAATATGGGTCACTCATATGAGCATCTGGATACATTAAAGCACTAGATGCTATATGAGAGTGATTTAATACTAATATTGTAACGAACTTTTTGTCTAAAGTGACCCATTTGTCTTGGTGATTAGAAATAGGTTGATTAGTTTCTGGTAGAAATCTGTGAAAATTAAAAATACGATGAAAAATTTATGATTTATCTTTTTACACTTATTTCTAATACGAATGTAATTTTGGAAATAAGAGTTACGGTTGAAGTAAGGTCTAAATTAATGACTTATTGGCTACGATGTTGATGGCCTGGCCTTCCCGAGTTGATGATATTTGTCAGTTCACTGTATTTGATGGTCGTTGTCTCTGAAGAGTTGCTAACATTCAGTGACAATACCATTTTAGTAATACTGAGGTTCAACAATGCATTTTCATATTCAGTAACGATAATTCAATCAGTTTCCTTAGCTTCAAACACCTTAGGTAGCTTGGGCAAGTGTTACGAATGTCATTCTAGAAAGTTTAACGTATTGATTACCCACTCTGGAATGGTGGAAAAAAGCAAAGATCTGGTAAGGCGATGAAACATTACCGTGGTTTAAAAGAAAGTGGAACAAAACTGGCACCTTCCAGATCATAGCACCTGTTTGATCCGGCTTTTGGAGACAGCTCAGTAATGTGAAACTTAATCGATCATAGCTCATAACAAAGTTCAATAGGGGTTGACATTAGTTTTCTACTACATTCTTCATGAAAAACGAAAGGAACTTCATTAACTGAAAGAATTTTTTTGGACTTTATTTTGACCAAACTGTTTCTCCTATTACATACTACTTTCATTCACTTACGTTTTCGATTATATTCCCTCGTTCCTCCATATCTACACAATTTCGTTCCGTTAATGTACGGTGCCTATGTGCACAAGTATTTTTGTGTATTAAACTAATAAATAAAGGATGATGATTCACGGACGATGCTTCTCGGTTTGACTGTTAACGGAATTTGAATCTTATTCCACTCGTTTATCAGTCAGTCTTTTCTTTTATCTAATTTAATTCCTCTCAAAATTAAATACATCTGTTCCATAACTTCTCTGAGGGATATAATATATTTAACCAGTGCCTGTCAAAGAGTAATTTAGCAGCTAATACGTACAATAGAATTTTACATAACTGACCTTAGGGTTTACACTTCTGCTTTAGAATATCGGTAAGACATCTGCATCTGCAATATTCATCAGATAAACTCAGCTATTTTACTAAAGTGTAAATTATTTTAAGTGGAACTATTAGGTGCCAAACAAAAATCTATGAAGCATTTTTAAATTATAACTTCCATCTCGATTATTTTCCTATATTTCCAGATAGATAGTATTTCCACTCTTAACTACAATAAGACAACAAAGTAACTGACACAGTTACAAGAAAATAAATAATGTACCATAATGTAAAAACACACTTACGACCAGGATTGATGCGATTTTTTGATCTGTTTAGGGGATTCATTTAATTTATCTGTTAAATCACTTGAATTTTCACATTCCTGTATAAACAATAAAATTAAATCAATATTAAGTCAGGAATGTAATCGTATTTCAGGCTAAAAGGGTTATATAGGTTACTTTCAGTAGTATTTATACGATTTATACAACTGCCTCGTGATGCGGTTTTTTGATTTTCACAATGTATGTCCTATCTACCTCGAGCTACTTTTCCTAATTTTCTCTTCAGCTGGAAGCTCTTTTGTTTTCTCCCTATCCTTAGTTCGGGTGTTGACGCAGGCCAGTCCTGGAGTAACAATTTACATTTGAATGAGGGGAAACGTATCCCAAACATCCTGGCATTATTACTCAGTTCTAACAGAAGACTCTGCATTTTGCCAGCGTCTTCACCAAACAGGACTATGTCATCTGCGTATTCTAAGTCGATAAGTGGACCTCCTGGTAGGAGACCAATTCCTGAAAGTTCAGTCCAAGAGACCGTTGCTGCTATCTTGACGTGGTGGTCGAGCTTGCCTATCGTGATGAACCAATCGATCTATACTGGCTGGAACAATCGTTCCTCAAGGTCCTACCATGCCAGACAGGTCGGTTGACGAGCGATAAGTCTAAAAGCAGCAAATCCAAGGTCCGAAGGCGAAGTCGTACTGTTGACTGTACAGAGGTGTGACAGCAGTAAGGTGTTTCCTTCAGACAACTAGCATAACAGCGATGCTGCCTTCCCACAAGGAGGGGTGAGGTTAGAAAATGTCAACCCTAAAAATGCACACCTCGCCTTATCTCAAGGATATCCATCTCCGGCGGTAAGGTCTTTTGAAGAACGGAGCAAACACAAAAACTACTCACAAAAAGGTCGTGTGTGACCGACCTCAAGCAGTTGTCCCTTGGGCACTGCGGTCACGCTCTCAGGTCATTAAGACCACTTCTAACCCAATTTCCTTTTCAGGTACCTCTAGAAGAACCCTTCCACGGTGTGGGCAACCGGGAAGTGATAACTGCCCTCATATCTCTAACAGCACTCAAGACCACTGGCTTCTAAACAAGGTGTTAGGATTTATTCTCTGTATTCAATTAACTTTGAATTTGAGCACTATGAGATCAGTGTATTTATGTAGAATAATTTATCATAAAACTTTATCTATTCTTCTATTCTTCAGCCTTTATCACTTTATCTCCATCAATCAAACTCTCACAAAAAAATGTATATTCAACAATTCATATTTTAAAATATTTTATTTATGAACTTCTAATTATCTACGAGAAAATATTTTGTCTTGCTATCTTGATTTAATGATTTATCTTAAATAGATTGATACTTTTTTTTAGCTTTGACTAGTTATTATTAGAAAGTAATTTCATTATTTAACCTACATGTTTAAAAATAAAAGAAACAACATCCATCTTAACCGACTTTTTATTTTCTTGTGATATATTTAATTATGATTAATTTTTATCGAAGATATAGAATAATTATTATTGACATAAAATAGTTATATTCAAAGCTAATTCATTAATATGGTAAGCAGAGATGGATAGTGGCTAGCAGTGGAATCCAGGACGTGCCATTCGTCCTATTATGGAATCGTCAGCTGGATGTACCTGCATCTCAGAGTTGATGTTCACTCTGGGACTCGAACCCAGTACCTTTCGCTTCAAACGCCGTCGCTACCATGCCTGTGATTTAGGGCTATATCGAGGCAATACGCACAGTATGCACCTATGCCAATTAGAAACTGACCAGTTGCAGTCCTAACACATCGATGGGAAGATTCTAACAAACAATACTAAATGAATTTAATTCCTTAATAGTTTTAAGTGCCAAAATGTTTATTTATATGGTTTGTCGTAAGAATTCATAAAAGAACTTAATTTAGAAACAGTCAAATGAATTTTTGCTTACTGTTGATGATTCAGAAGATTTTTGAACCAGTTCATCATTTTTATACTTATTTTTTTGATATAGTACATTGTCAATTGGTAAGTATGATAATTTGGCACGATATGTTGGTTTCTCTGGTTGGAAGGAAAAGATATTATACGTCTATAAATATATAAGTTATCTGTTAACTTTATTATTATTCCAATATAATGACGTTTTAGTAGGATATTAATAGAAATAATTGTGAAACGTTCCTTGAATACACTTAGAGTTTGATCGAATGTTAAGAACGTTTTTTCGAATAAAGTACAACTTTACTATATAGATGCCACCGGAGTAGGTTGTGGTTCTTTAAGGAAAGTTGAATTGTTGATCAGATTAATTCTGGCGTCCTTCATGAATTCATAGATAGAATGTTTTATAACCTCTACGTTAAACATGGTTTGCTTAAGAGTATTTTCTACCTGGTCACCGGACTAGCGTTACTACGCTTTTGTGAGTACATACTATACACAGACCTAATTAATAAGGATGTGAAGTCAACATCTAGAACAATAACGCATAGTAAAATATGAATTGTTTACGATTTAATGTGTACGATTTAAACTGGATTTCAAATATAATTTCTTCCAGACTACAGCGAGACAATACTTATCATACGAATATGTTTTCTTCATCTATTAAAGTTTTATTTCCACCTATTATTTTCATAGCTTACATAAAGATTTAAGGTGAATGCTGATTCAGTGTACGGTAAACACTACGAAATCGAGTTCATGAAACTTATATAACTTTAACACCAACCTCAAAATTGCAATGCTCAGAATAAGTGCAACGCTCAACAAAGTAAAATCTTTAACTTTCTGTTGTCAAATTTTAAATAAATACTTGACTCTCTTTGAGCGTCATTTCGGAAAAGATTTTCGTCGTTGATTAACTTGTTTAAAAATTTCACAGACTTTCTATTCTTTTCACGTATTCATATAAGTTTAGTTTGCTTCCTCAAAACTATCATTATCATCTTCAGTTGAATGAATAGTTCGTCTGAAGTTTAGAAACAATACTATTTACTTCTGAAACCTTCCTCTTTCAATTTGTTTATTATAATATCTATTAAACTTTATGGGTTAGAAACTTTCAACGAACTTTGTTTTATCATCAAGAGAAGACAAATATAATGAAACGTACTAACAGCCTTTTCTGTTGAAATTACCAAGTCTCACTGTTTTGTTACAGAGTTGGGCATAAAAAAGAGCAACTAAATATATTAGAAGTGTTGAAGTCAATAGAAAGTGAAGAGCAATCCCTTACAAAGTCTATTGAATCTAAAAGATTTTCGGTTTCACACATTGTAAAAACAAGCTTGAGACCAGTTAATTATTATTTCTTTTAAACTCGAGTCTCACTGCAATCATATTACCTAGTCGTCTAAAATGTTTTACATGCAGCTTTTTAAATGCTTCATTTTTTAGACAAATGCTTTCCGATCACGTTTCATAATTGCAATAACTGAAGACTCAAAAATGATGACAGTATTTTGACTTGATGCAGTCCATATTTTTATATTCCCTTAACGGAATTTGCTTAACTATAAACGTCTGAAGAGGTTAGCATAATTCGTTTTTCAAAAAAAAGCAACAAGGAACCGTTTTGATTTATATGGTCAATGAAACTAAACACGTACTCATAAGGTAGTAACATGCATAAAGTAGAAATCTTTTTTCACCCATCCAACGAAATCGTTCACTTTTGTAGTCTAAATCAGCAATGAAACCCCATTCAATACTTTGAATACCGTATCGATGAAAATTTGTGTCACATGTTCCAAAGTGTATGCAACTCACAGGAGTGATACGCGGTAAAACTGGTAGAGTACAACTGTATTTTTCATTTTGTTCATTAACTTGTTGATATTGTTTATTTTGAATATTTTCAATTGGTAATGTTAACAGAAAACCACAGTGTGATAAAAGTGATGATTTGCCTAATAAACTAAATAAAAGAAAGCAAAAGGTTTGAAATAAATAATTTATTAACAATAATAAATGATATTTTCCGTTATGAGATTGATCAGTGCATAATTTGATATTTGCAATATTTACAGGTGAGTCATCTGAAACTTACATTAATTTAAGAAACTTTGGAAGTCATTGGTCTTGTTCACATTCGAGACTCTTCGACGGACCATACATGCGTTATTCAATAGGAGTAACCCTATAACTTTCAAGTCTCGACTAGTGTATTGTCTCAATATAACCAATATGAATGAATTTCATTGGTTCTTCAACAAGTGTCATTTAGTGGAAAAAACTTATATAGCATCTCTGTGCAACAACTTTTGACGCTTTTTATTGGTAATTGACGGTGGGTCTTCATAAGAATAAAGTGAAACAAAGACTTCTAAAAACGTGGCTAAATACCAGTTTGTAATCATTTTAACCACAAGTGTCATCGCTTGAAAAATAGACCAAAGAGCTCTTAATTAGTGCAAAAAGAATTTGTTTCAAAAACTATTTCAACTTATGTTTGTTACTTCAATCCAATGCACAATCACTATCTTTTTGTCTACGTGAGTGAAGTGAACACTAGATTGATAAATCATAGGGAAAATTCTTTTGAATAGAAATGTTAGTAGTGAAAAAAGCAGCTGCTTTCAGATTCATTAACTGTTCCAACAAGGCACAAAATGGTTTTAATCACTAAATGTACGTATTAGGGGAATAAAGTCTCATAGGATTCGCAGTGATAAAAATTCAAAGAAAGATCCACTTAATCCTAAGGTGAAAGTGTAGAACATGGTTATATAAAGTTTTTGATAATTAGGTGGGTAAATAGTATATCTCAATTTATCACACAAGTATATTAGGGTTACCGCTTTTAAAGCCATTATAGTTACCCATAATTCTCGTTTTTTATCGATTTGACCTTTTTTGTTACTGGTGTATAGAATGTAGACTGAGAATAGATTTGACCATAAGAAATGACTTTTAATCAGCCGATAGATCAAGAAACCATTAATCAAGCAAATGTGGAAAATGGTTATTCAGATAATAATATTTCGTAGTCTTTATTTATTAATTAGTATAAACTAGTCAGTCAACTTACCTAAACTTCATCACATAGACTGGTGAATAAATGATTAACTGTACTGTTATATTTATGTTTGTTTTATGTTAATTAAATTAACAAGCACATTTGTTCATAAAATGCATTACTGAGTAACTGGATATATATCTAGGTTAATTCATCTGCTTTATAGTTTGTGGTCAGTTATTTTCTGCTATGCTCCAAAACAAAAACCTATTATAATAAATAGCACATCTAATTTATTTGCATCATTAAACATTTAATTACCCAGAATGATAACAAATTGAAGCAGCAGTTGAATTAGCACTGCCTCCTGGTAGAATACCAATAGGTATTGTATCCTCCTCAATTACGTCATCATAATCTTTTCTTGAAATGAGTCCGTTAATTACTTCATACACTAGTCCATCGCCTGAACACGTAACAATTGCACGGTAACGTAAAAGATTAGCTTTTGGTAAATTTATGATAAAATTTTCTGCATGACCTGGATATTCTAAACAACAGAAATGTGGCATCAAAATTGATATTTAAATAGATGCATGCATAAATAAATCATTTATGGTTTATATGAAAGGCATATAAGTTAAACATTTAGGAATGCATTACCAGGTAGACTCTTCACGAGCATAATTCAGCATAGTAAAGAGGATATATATATATATAACACTGGGTTTATGTCTATGTTATTATAAGTTATGGGAGAACGTATTGTCTGGTGGTTTATCGCTATGTTGATAAACTTCAGACTACTGAGTAATCAGTGTCATCATTATACATTCTTTTATGCCAACTGAATTTAGTTGATGACGAGTGATACAACCTAAGTCCAGAACTTTCTTTCATTTGTTTCTAATCATTTAACTTTGTTTATCATCTGTCCGTAAGCAGGTTTTGTTTAGATCAGCACAAAAAAATAAAGGAAAATTAACATTGCGGCGTATAATATTTCTGAAATTTATGCAAATGGAATTATAGAATGTCATTGTTACTTGCCTCAATTAATATAATGCAGGTTTCTAGTGATATGCTATCTATATCAGCTAACTATCAGTAGATTTGACGTTTCTACTTGTTGATCAGAAAGGGTTTTGTGGAGATTTTAGTATTTTCATAGTTGAAATCATGAGTCAATTGAAGCTAGACCACCATGGAAAACCTGGAAGCACTGGACGGCCGTTTCGTTCTAATATAAGTCTCCAAGAGATATTTCCTTGAGTTCTAGTGGGAAGCAGTGACCAGTGGAGTTCTACCAAGTCTGTAGTAGAGATATCAACCCACTGAGGACGATTGGTGAACGGTTGCTCAAAATCGCGGATTGGTTAAAGTAAGACATTAACACCGTTGAATGCCGACTCAGTGATCTATCGGTTAAGTGCTCTGGCGCGAGACTGGTAGGTCCTGGGTTCGAATCTCGCGAGCGCAGGATAGTGGATGCGCACTGCTGAGGAGTACCATAATAGGAGGAAACGGCCGTCCAATGATTCAGGGTTTTTACTTGTGACGAAGTCATTTTTGTTGTTTATTCATCTACTTAATCTCTAATTATAAATTGTTTAATATTATTTATCATACTTTTTAAATGTTTGTTATTTACTTTCATATTTATTATACTAACAATACAACTTTGTGCTCTGAAATTTCAGAGCTTGTTTACTTTTCCAATTAGCTGTTTTTTCATCCAGCTGAATAAATCATGTTATCGCTTACTGTAATATATCAGTAGTATGATATAGATCGTGTATAGTTGACAAAATGAGCTACATTTATGCTATAAAATGTTTGAATATTTGTTTATCTTGTTTCTATTCCTTTGCGGATTAGTTATTGTAACAAAAATACTCAGTTTTATAAACAACATTTAATCCGGATATTTTTGCTTAAATGGACATCATTTGTTTCCGCTTATTCAACAAATCCATTGATTATTAGAATCGTTTGACTATAATCCTAATTTCCAAGTAAACAGTGAACCAATTAATTGAGAAATCATTTTAAAACGAATAATCTATATTAATAGAATAAACACTTAGTATTGGTAGATTCACAGACGAAAATCGAAATACATGTGGCCATTATGAGTTGTAAATACACCAAATATATTAAATCATCTTTACTAAGTTAATGAAATGATCTCATCAGTATAATTCAAGAGGATTCTAATAACTGATATGATGAAAAGTCATTTTAAATGACACTAATAGTATGATAGTTATGTGGGTTTTATATACATATTTGTGTTTCAGTAAATGTTTCCGTTATTTAGCTTTTTTATTCCCTATCACGTAACACTTTAATAGTCATAATTCCAAAACTTAGTTATTTGCTAAACTACAGTAAGCTTAAAACTTAGACTAATATAAGTGATTTTGCTAATGGGACAAAATAAATCAAAAACTCAGCATAACTTAATCAACAAACGACTTACTTATATTGAACTATATATGCTAAAAGTGGTCCAACAATTTACCCTGATACCATCACGCAATCAATCAATTTGAAGTTAAAATCAAGGCTAGCCGTAAGACTTGATGATTCTGTGTTAGATCTGCCGTGGTATTATTTTATCTACTGTTGATGGGTCCTGTACTAGGACAAAACATCTGTCCAGTGCTTCCTGCTTTTCAGAGGTTATTTAACTAAGTTCAGTCCGTGATGCCAAGCATAAAATCTTAAAATAAATTATGGTCCATTAAATATTTATACTCGAACTGGACGGCCGTTTCGTCCCATTGTGGGACTCCTCGGCAGTGCAAGTTTATTTTTATGATTCTTTACTACTTTTAGTCAGTATACTAGTTTAATGAAAGCCAGTTTTTTAGTAGATGCTTTTCTAACGGTTCAAATGGAATAAGCAAAACTTTACATTTGTTTTCACTAATTGGTTTTTAATTAATGACAACTAATTCTACTATCGTTTAACATATTGTGAAGTATTACTAAATGAATTAGTGAACTCTCATTATAAAAAGCGGTTGGATTCCTATAGAGTATTTTAAACGTTTTGTTTATTATTATACATTAGATTCATTAATTAAAAAATTTGAAATGCGATAATACAATTAATTACCTGTACAAAATAATTCATATGGAACATTCATTTGTTTCCAAATGGGAGAAATTTTATAGTTAAAACCATTTAGAGCATTTCCTGATCCACTTTTAGGGTTTATTAAGACTAAATATGGTTTGCCTGAATTGACGAATAAACAAATTAGACTTTTACTAAAATTTCATTAGAATGCAATTTTAGAGAAAATTATGCGATCTAATTATAAAACAAAATATGTTGGAAGCATAATATAAGAACTATCTGTGATCATCGTCTGCTGTGAGTAAACTTACCATTGGCAAATATAAAATATGATTTGTTTTGTATTTCCGAAAATGTTCTATTAAGTGCCTTAAACTAGTCTATGATTGAGAGACTTAAATGTCTGTCTAGTGAAAATGAATAATGGCACGCTATATTCTTGTTATAAGCATAAAATGTTAGAAGTACAATGAACTGGTTTAATTGAGTCGAGCTTCTTGAATAGCAGTGTAAAGGATAAACCCATAAATGCTGAGCATTGCAAATTATTTTTTCTGTCAGGCTATTTAGTTTTAACATATCTTTTCATATCTACATGTCTGTATGGATCACTTTCATCTGGACATAGATTCAGAGGAAAAAACACAAAATAATTAATTAACACAGGAAACTATTTTGCAATAAATGTACTAAAGTTGTTTAACATCAAAGGACAAATACTGAGCTCATTTACCATCGTTTGAGTGGGCATTTTCGACGAAAAATTCCATTGCTTTCATGCATTCAGAAGCTTCTTGATCAGATGAAAAAAGTATATCAAGACTTGTTTCTTCAAGAATTTTCAAATTTTCTTTCTTTCCATTCACCTGAAAAGTCAACCAGTTAAATGATTGCCTACTTTTCTTGTTTTAAAATAACTCATTTTTAGGCAAATATTTTGCTTTTTCTTATTTTTTAATATAATTTCTTTCTTGCACCCAATTATTAGGTTCTTGTGAATGTACATTTTGTTGGGTAAAGAATAGTGATTTGGCACGACACATATTCCAAGTTCGTTTAGATAAAGTGTACAGCGCATTTGATGAAAAACTGGTAGGATACAGACATCGTATGTTGTACAAACATTCGACTGCATTTCTATAAAATAAACTTATTAAACATCTGTATTATGCTAATTAATTTAGAAACAAATTAAAAAATTATAGTGTTAAAATAACGTCGAATATTGTTTAGACAGATAGAATGACCACTTTTGTTGTTACGCAAGTGTGGCGGTTAATTATGAATGTTTTTGACATGTTAACTAAATATCGGTGAATATGATGATTAAATTTTCCTAAATCTTACTTTGTACAGTACGTAAAACCTGCTCCACATCATTACAGCAAACTGAATACCTAAAACCTGTTATTCTGGTGCGCTGTGACAGATTAGTAAAATATAGATATCACTCAAATCTTTCCTGCTAGATCCCTTGAAAGAACTTTAACTAAAGGTTATTAACTTTCGTTGTTGCAGACAGTCACCTAGCCTGGGCCTATGGTAGCAAAAAAATTTCTAAAATAAATAGTTCTGTAAATCTACGACATTGGTGCTGATCTCATTAGGTTTACTGAACACACGACAGCTGAATGCGCTCTTTCACACACCTGTACCAGATTACGAGTGAATACTCTGTGATGTTTATATGAACCAATGATTTGTTTGCATTGATAGGTGTTTTGATTTCGAACTCCAAATACAGTACATTCGTTTGTGCTCATCTAATGCTTCTTGATTAAATTGAGTTGTTTCTTGAGTTACTAGTTTACACCATAATTCAATTACTCTTAAACATCACAATGGTGTCCCATAGAGACTGTGATGGAACGGTTGGATACAGATTCAGATTTGAATGCTTTTGAGGATTACATGGAGAGGTTTGAAATCTGGGCTATGATCAAGGAAGATGTTGAGGATGTTATTACTGTGGCTCATTTTTTTATATTTAGCGAAAAAAAGCATACAGCTTAATAAGGACTTCAACATTTCCAGATGAACCGATTTCACTTCCCTATGCAACTCACAAGGAACTACTGTTGGACCATGTAAAGTATACAAATTTCGAATTTGGTAAAAGAAGAAAATTCGATAAAATGACCCGCCAGAACATCATGAATTCCACTACAATAATACGTCGTCGCAGCCCAATACGTAATCAAGGTTGTTCAGATGACAATTGATTAAATTGTGAAACAGTTCGTGAAGATGAGCACGTGTTTGGTAAATGCTTGTTCTGTGGCAAGTTTCACCCATGTAATTCATGTGTATTTCGTAATTCTAAATGCTTCAAGTGTGGTAAAACTGGACACATTCAGTTTGTAATGTCATGGTTTATTACGCGGAAACTAATGCTAAAATTTATGAATGGATGCTATTAAGGTGGGTGTTTCTAATGATCACTTATTTTTATCCAAGACTTCTGGAAGCGGTATAACGTCACATAACATAGCAGTTCAGAGTTGAATGAAACCTAGAATCACTGTGAGACAAAAGTTTCCGATCAACCAACTTCTTATCACATTTCTCGTGTTATTGTACCAGATGCGGTTTGTCATAATCAGTCACATATTTCTGATGAAATTGCTTACAACTCTGAGAACAATATATTGAATTGGTCAAATTATGATCAAGAACCAGATTCAGTTTTGGTAGATGCTGATTTTTCTAATGATCTATTATTCTTTAATGAAACTCTTAATAAATTCGAGGGAATAGCAAGTTTTCCTGAAGCAATCAGAGAACCAGTTTGCACAGGCAGAGAATCCAAATCAAGTCCAAGATTATCCTAATGAATATGAGGCAGATGCATGTTTTCCATTCGATTGTTTCGCAGATGAATCAAGCCTAAATGCATCACATGTGTTAATTACACATACTAATGCATATCTATCTGTGTATTCTAATATGAATAACAAAAAGAATATGTATCATAATTTTTATGCAAGTCGAAGTCCCACATTATGCAATACCTCAAATTGTATATCAGTGTGTATCCTCAAATACTCACATACAGTAATCGAAGCGTGAGATTTGATAAGATAATGCGAATTGAGAACGTCAAATTGGTTACAACATTGCGACGTAAGGATCCAACATTATTTCGTGGGGGAAGATAGTGTTGGAACGTCTATGATGCAAATTCTAGATGTCTGTGGTTACACTACACAACCGACATGATGATTGTATACAATTCCAGGAATCAGATGGGTCTGTTCCAATTTCAGTTGTTAATTCTAATACTAACGAGTGCATTTCAGGTACTACACAGTCTATATTCAATACACTCTCGAACGGACGTAAGATGAACTTAAGAAGAAGACGTACAATCCATTAAAAACACTAACACTCCAATTTGAACTGTGGAGGATGTGGTGTTTATATGAAACAATGATTTCTTTATATTGATGACTGTTTTGATTTCCAATTCCAAATACAGTACATTCGTTTGTACTCGTCTAATACTTCTTGATTAAATTGCATTATTCCTGGAATTACTAATTCATGCTTTTATTCAAATACTTTTGAATATCACATACGCATCCCTTGCAATTAGTAACCAGCTTACACCGGAGGCTTCTCGATATAACATTAGTTTTCCAACAACATCTTTGAACCTCTATATTTCTGACTTCTGATTTAACTGGGTTGGCGTCCTTCAATTAAAAAAGCCTTACACACAAAAGCGTTGTCAAAATCTGAATAACTGTGGTGTCTTTAGACCTAACTTTGAATACAGGGTCCATTATCAAGAATACTGAATGGCTTGTCTCACAAAAAATGATATCAATTAAAAAACACGTATCCTAAACAAATAACCTGTTGTTTAAACTTTACACTTCAACATGTTTAACAAGGGCTTTGTAACTGTTAAAAATATTAGGAAACAAAATAAAACATAAATGCAGTCAGGTTAGAAATCAAAATAAGCCTGAAAAACGTCGTCGTGCATAAAGAACGGTAACTTAAATAAAAGGGTCAACATCTTTGAATAGTAAGGAAATCATTATTGAAATGCGAAATGGGAACGGGGTTAAATTAATCTGGATAACAAATGCACTCATCGCACTAAACTGACCAATATAAAGGGGATGCTTAAAACTTAAGGTTTTTGTTTCATTTGTACGAGGTTTTGAATGTCGATATCAGTGCTATAGTGTCATTGAATCTGAACATATCAGTATTAGTTTTTTCAAGCTACTGTCGATACAAGTCACACACAGAATTCGTCAAATCGAAACCTATCAAAAAAAGATAGGGACGATCTGCGATTTCATTATATAACATTTAAATATATACTGTGGGTAAAAATAAACATGTAAACAATTATTGGGAACATATACGTTTGTCACGATATATGCTTGCCTTTAATGTTTAGTTGGTGCTTCTAAGCGATTTCTCCTACAAATTCAATTCATGTTCTTAGTACGTTACACATACGGGTGCATCAGTGGAACAAGTAAGACCTAACAAATGTCACTAGTGTAACTCAACCTCCTACAACTGTCATTAGTCAGTAGTTGATTTTAAAAAAAGCGAATAAAAGACAAAAAGTCTTCCAGCAGAGGAAACTCTTGGGACAGATAGCTGAAAAAGTAAATGATTGGTTGGTGTTTGTTATCACATTACAACAACAAGACTTTATGTACTATCACTTTATGTATTTTATCGAGCGTTAACCGAGACAGAGAAATCTCCCCGAATTTCACATGGTACTATGACGGAAATGTTAACAAAATATGGGTTGCAAGGAGGTTAATTGGTTTAATAACCAAGATTTTTTCATGCTTATCAGTTTGATTCGCCATTTTCGCTAATTGTCACTGGAAGAAGTGACACATAACAACTTATTAATTCATATTAATTAGTATTAGATACATTGTTTATTAAGCCCTTTGTGCTCTCAACATATATCGTATTACCTTATTCATACAAGACACGATGCCGGCCCAGATATTTCGGCACGGATATTATGTTGCACTAACAATGACAAACAAAGTTACTGCCGTAAATTTAAGTCTCAGCAAAACACTAAACCCACTCGAGCCAAAATAATTTAAACATTTTCCGTTTCCATATTCAGCATTTTTATGTATGCACTCCGAGCCTGAGACGGCTATGATTTATTATTTAGTTGCCACCATATATATATATATATATGTATATATATATATATGATCATCAGGGATTGGGATTTTAGTAACTTATTAACTAAACATATTTACAATAAAAGTTTTTAATTGCAGGTTGGTTTAATGATCAAGACACTCTGAAAAAATCTTGAAATCTCTATAAATACAAACCTTTCTTGATATACACGGGTTATTATGAAAAATTCCAGACTCATAAAAAAGGAGCAATGAACTCAGAAACTTATATCAAACTTCAAAGAAAACAACAAAGGAGTTCGTACAACTGGGTCGTTATAACAAACATGCTCATTTGGTCTTTAATCTTCAGCAATAAGATTAGTAGGTGAGCGGACTCCTGTTAGTCCTTCTGGCTCGTCTTCCACTGAAATTTTAGCTTTTTCTTATAAGTGCCTACTTATGGTGCTGATACAACTCGTTCCACTCCCTGATCACTGAGAAAAATGACATCCTTTTCTGACTTCATTCGATCGTGGTTCTAGAACATTCTTGCTACCTCATATGAATAATTATGAAGCGACTTTGTTGTGTTCGACTGTTCGCTAGATTATATATACCTTCCTTCCTGTGATTTTTGACTCTATCTCTCTATAATACTGATGTATTCTGCAATGATTGGAGAACAGTCTACATCTACAGTAATCCACAAGTCCGTGAAAATAACTAAATTGTGACTTAATTCATTTCTCACGAAGGTTAGATCAAACGTTTTATTCCTAAGACTACGAGCGTTTTATCGAACAAATTTAAGGTGTTTTGTAGATCACTAGTTCTACCCATCCAGGTTTCGGGAGCTGGAAACCGGAAAAACCTGAATGTAGGGTTTGTTTTACCACCATGATTTTAGGATGTTAACTCAGTAAGCGCATTGTTTCACCTCATTGGACCCTCTAGCAACCAATGTGGTCGGACACGAATGTTCGAATTGCTAGTTTTGTATGCGTTGTTTGCTAAGACGCCCCCCTACTTTCATTACTTCTAAGTACTAACTTCAAGATTCACTTTGTTTGGGCTTCGCATCCAACCCAATTACTGGGTTTTATTACATTAGTAATATGAGCTTTCAGCATCTGTTCTGACATAGCATTTTTTTATGGCATGTCCCACTAACTTCAGATAAAATGCGTACCATTTGAAATGGGTTTTTTTATTCTTGAAGAATCAATTCATATAGTCTAGGAATTTTTTTCAGTAAACAGAATGCACCCATTAAGACGGTAAATAAGAATGATTGGTTTAGTGAAGTGTTCACTTTCGGGCGAATTCATTTTCAAGGCTGTTCAATCGCAAGTATATACACTTAATTTTTTTCTGGATGAGAACAATTACAGTATTAACGGTGTTAAACTTCTTTTAAACATGATGGTAGTGATTTAGAATAATTAAAGGTACTAATAAGTCTTTTAAGCGGGAGAAATAATAATTATCTTATTGATAATGGCTTAAATATTCACCAAGAGATAGATGGCTCAGCATGATGAGATAAAGTGTTAAAATTAGGATTAAATGTAATCAGGAGGATCATGGAAAATAAGATAAACCATTCAGGTGAAGGAAGTTAAAGGAGAAGATGGAAGAGGAAGTAGATGGCTATGAAGGAAGAAGAGTATGGAGAAAAAAGAAGAAAAAATTTCAATACATTAAGACCATGGTGGGAAAAAAGGTTGTACCAATCTCTTTCGGACACATAATTCTGGCTTCCCCAGTTATTTGGCTATTGTTGCGGCAGTGCTAATAAGATGCAACATAAATTCCTTTAAAAGACTTCTGATTACCTTATACATGACTTTGAGTGCAGAGTCCATCTTGATTGAGTGACCTGTGTTCACAAAGGTGTTCGATTATTGAACTTCTTATTGACCCGTTTTCCCCTGTGCTTAGCCACAACATCTGGTCATCTTTTCCCATTGATAGTTTCCTTATCTATCTTTTGATGAATATATAAGCCATTACCAATCAGATGTTTATTATTTCCCCTGTTTAAAGAACTTATTAGTACCTTTGTTTATTCCACCTCACTGCCACCATGTCTAACAGAAGTTTAACATCATTAATATTGCAATTATTATCATCCAAAAAAAAATAAGTATATATACTTGCGATTGAACAGCTTTGAAAATGAGTTTGCCGAAAACAGAACTCTTTTAAAAGCCAATCTTTCTTAGAAAATCTAGAAAACAACTTGAATTTTTTAGAGTCGTGTTCACGGATTTTGATTATGTTGTGGTGTCCTTCAGATTAACTCTCGGTCCATAGTAAAGTGCCTAATTGGTGGCTGGAAATGCAAGGAGGAGTTGATGAAACTCTTAAGAGTCAAGTAACGGGGTTATTAATGTTTGGACCCCGATGATAGTGTCACATTTACGGACAGGTATTGGCAACCAATTACATAATAAAATATACCACACTGTAAAAATTTACAACCTAATGGTTTTCGATGTTTCACAGTAAACCGTTTATATGTTTCGTTTTTGAGTCTGTAGACTTGGTAATGGATGGACAGGATGTTAGAAATGAGAGTCCACATATTGCTTGGCCGATAGTGCTATAAAGGTTCTAAGGAGATGTGCTTACATCTATCTGTGTAGTCAAGAGTGGAGTCACGTTCTAGCAGTCGGTGTTTGAAGAGTCTTCGGACATCTACCTTTATCTTGACTGTGACATTCATGTTTGAGAAAGTAAAAGAGCAATATTCAAAGAAGGGTCTCATAAATATTTTGTAAAGGGCAAGCTTACCCCTGTTGTGAAGAAATCTTTTATTAAACCACTTAGCTGTCTAGATTAAGAAATAATAGAGGAGGCATGTTCTTAGAATTTCAGGCATCTGGTGTAATATCTATATCGTGCACTAATTCGAGTATATGAACTCTACTTTAATTGTAGTAACGTTCACAGGGATGTTTTCAAAAATGCACGATCTTACACTTGTTGTGGTTAGATGGTAATCGCCATTCTTCGCTCCAGATAGGTTATTGAGGTCACTTTGAATCTGAGATACACTTTCACTTCAAGCTTCAGGCCTAAAGTTGTATACTATTTTGAGATAATCAGAGTATAACCATGGTCTCCCAAATTTTATGGTGTCACATACATCGTTTATATGCATAAAAAAACAAGAATGGACCTAAAACACGCCCCTGGATGACTTCACTAGTTATTGGTCTTGGTGATGAGAGAGAGCCAGTTACTACACCATTTGTACACGTCCTGTTAGGAATGAAGCTAACTGTGGATATAATGAGCAAAGATGGATAGTGGCTAGCAGTGGAATCCAGGACGCGCATTCCGTCCTATTTGGGACTCGTCAGCTGGATGTACCTGCATCTCAGAGTTGGTGTTCACTCTGGGACTCGAACCCAGTACCTTTCGCTTTAAACGCCATCGTGTTATCCGCTCAGCTACTGAGTCCACTTGCTTGTGCAATTGGGTGAAGTTTAAATTCACCTGGTATCGTTTGGTCGAATCTTCGCACTGATGTTGAGAACTGCAATCGATCAGTCTCCTATTGGCATATGTGCATACTGTGCGTATTGTCTCGATATAGCCTTAATTCACAGACATTATAAACAAAGAATGATTGTGGCTGGCAGTGGAATCAAGGACGCGCGTTTCGGTGGAACTTTCCACATATTCTTCAACAGTTTCTATCGTTCCCCTTCCGAGTAAGGAATTATAGTATTTCCTCCTTATCTGCAAGAGGATAATGGCACTCTGGAGCGTATCAAACGGCGAGCCACGAAACCAGTTCGAGGATTCAAATTCAAATCCTATGAAGAGCGCATCCAATCACTTAAAATTTATCCGTTACAGTAAAGGCGTCTCAAAGATGACCTTCCTAAGGCTTAAAGTATCTTTAACAATTCTGGACATCCCTTTAAACATCTGCTTATGTTCAGCTCCAACACAAATCTAAGGGGTAACACCTAGAAGGTGGATAGACAACACAGCAGAATGGATTATGGGCATACCTTCTACTCTTCAAGAGTAGTTAAACGTTGTCATTCACTGCCGGTTGGGACAGTCTAATAGACTTCCCTGGAGTACTTTAAGAGGAAATTTGACCTATTTTTAAGGACCAAGAGTAACATCGTGATATGATTTATCAATTTCTTTTTCCTATTATAGGTAATATACCTAAGTTACTGCCTGGAGGTATTGGTGATCCACTGCTACTAGACACGGAAGCTCGTTAGTCGAAAGCCTCTTCTATTCCGTCCACAACCGTTTGATTATCAAACAGTAATGTTTCGGAGACATCGAAAGTTTGAAAATAACTTAGCGGTTGAAGAAGTTTGGGTAGAATTTACTATAAGCGATGAAAAATCACATATCAAATTTTGTTTGTATCAATCACCGTGTTGTAACCTTGCTTTAGTCTGTGACCTATATTTCAAAGAAAGCGTCGGTCGGCTCATTTAGTCATGAAGTGTTTCCTATGTTTGACTGCTTTTTTTGTAGTCGTTGTTGGTGATTCTGGTTTCAGAAAGTGGTCAAATCTCGAGCCTTCATTACCTCTGGGTAGACTTTTTGAGCAACAGGTTAAAGAGGGTTTGCCTGGCTCTGTAAATGTTGAGCTGCTTGACGACATTATTGCAGCTTGGAAATTTTTCAAAGTTCAGTTCAAACGAGCTTATAATGGTATTCATGAGGAAACAAGGCGATTCTTTATATTCTCGGCTAATTTCGCCAAGATGATGGAGCACAACCACGCCTTTCAAGAAGGCAAGGTGACATACAAAATGGGTGTCAATGAATTTACTGATAAAGTAAGCCAGTTTTGCATCATTTACACTTGCAGACTGACTATGAACTTAAAAAGTTGCGTGGATATAAAGTCACTAGTGGTGCTATCAGACATAAAGGGTCGATGTATATTAGGTCACAACATACTAAACTCCCGAGCAAGGTTGATTGGCGAAAAGAAGGGGCAGTAACCGATGTAAAAAATCAAGGCCAATGTGGTTCATGTTGGGCATTCTCTACAACGGGAGCTATAGAAGGTCAACACTATCGTAAAACTAACCGTCTAGTTAATTTGTCCGAGCAGCAATTGGTTGATTGTAGCAAGAGTTATGGAAATAATGGTTGTTCTGGTGGTCTAATGAATTCGGCGTTTGAATATGTCCGCGACAATGAAGGCATTGATTCTGAGATTTCCTATCCATATATATCTGGTGATGGAACGGAAAATAATAGATGTTTATTCAATGCTTCAAACATTTTAGCTCAGGTTACAGGCTATGTAACCATTCACGAAGGTGACGAGCGTGCATTAATGGATGCTGTGGCGACAAAAGGTCCTGTTTCAGTTGCCATTAATGCTGGTCTTCCCAGTTTTTCTATGTACAAATCAGGTGGGTGGTTTCATATATGAGGATTATTATTCGTTCCATCTGATGACAAGTTCTTAAAAGATTTTCCCACAATATGCAGCTGGATATCTATATTTTAATTGCATTTTGAATCACCCTCAGTTTTAGTCGTTAAGTAATAGAGACAAAGAAATGGCGAGGAATGAGAATTCCTATGTAAGCATTTATGTTCATGCGTAGTTTATACGCTCGTTAGTTATGTACAACATTTATCTGACAAAATTGTCTGTAAAAGTCTAATATACTGAGCTAACCGATCAGAACTAGGATAGCATCCCAAATACTTTGTACGAAATTTATGGTGCAGTGATCAGGCGAATGTTTCTTGGGATTCTTGAGGTCAATCGAAAAGCGTGTCCTCTATGGTCTTCACACACCTGTACCTAAGCCAGGTTGTATGTTAAAGTATTTGATGTGTCATTGCTTATTCAAGAGTGCTTAGTGAAGCTGGATGTTTACTCCTTTTTCTTACTCTCACTCTAAATCTTAACCCTAAGTTTCTCAAGTTTTTAAACATAAAGGTGGTAAGGTATTGGATTGTAGCTGATGTTAGTTTGTGTTTAAAACCCTGACCCTCATTTGTAAACCTAACTCACAATTCCACTTTAATTTTTAATACTTAACCGTAATTTTTTCGCATTATAACTGCTGTTAGTTGATGACAAAACTGACTGTGGTGATAAGCCTAGCTCATAACTACATCTTAATCATGTTTCTAATATCTACAGTGCTGCTACGGTTTCTAACCACTCAAACTTCATTAGGAGTACCTAACTTTCAATATCTCATTTTGTTTTGTTATTCGAAACAGTTATATACATGACAGTTTAAATTGATCTACTAGTATTAATTTCAGTCGAGGCTAATATTACATTTGCGTTTCACATTTCCACTGTCAGTCAAGATCATATCAGAGCAGTCAAGTTAAGCAATAACTGAAAATTCTTATTTTTGAGGTTGCGTAGGATTTTATGTTTTATGCAAAAATGTGTTTATGTTACTATTTTTCTTTATTGCTTAGGCATCTATTCAGATACTGATTGTGAAGGCACGTTAGATGAACTTGATCATGGGGTTCTGGTGGTGGGTTATGGAGAAGAAAATGGTCGGTCATATTGGCTTATAAAGAATAGTTGGGGTGAAGAGTGGGGTGAAAAAGGTTATATTAAAATCTCAAAGGATTCTCATAATATGTGTGGTGTTGCCAGTGCAGCTTCATACCCTCTAGTATGAAATATTTGTTTGCAGATGTTAACATTTTAAGAAAATAATACAATCTCGATTTTTGATTTTTATGCAGGACTTATTTGATGTACATAATCTCATATTCCGTTGATAATTTATTTGTATTCCCTTTTGTATAACTTGTTTGTAATCAATCTGATTTTCTCCACCCATTCCTTGCCTTTTTATATCATCAGGTAGTAAGTAATTGATCATTGTCGTCTCAAATGATAACAGCTTTTACGGATTGAAAGGTATAGGACCTCAGTGAAGAAAGTTGGTATCTTATTTTAGTTGTTATTCTTGAATCTCAAGTGTCATAAAACCTGTAGACATTTTAAATTAGTAATATTTTAGATGGCAAAATTTCTCTTACCATAGTTACCGTAGATACTAATCATACTTTGTCATCATTAACCTCCACTCCTGTTTTTCAAGATTTTACCATGTCAAACCGGCTGATTAAAGCGTGTTTTTGCTGAGGGAGACATTGATGAGGCGCGATGCTTATGTGACCTTCAGAATATCTACATACTAAGTAGGACTAAATGATGGTTATAAATCAGTGTGAGTCAGTCAGCTACAACGTAGGACCAGGCACATATATTCATCGATCCAAGTTGCCACACCTCATTAGCACAACGAGGTGAACATCATTTTCATAGAAGTAGTTACTTCAGTAGTAGTAATATATAAAAGATTGTGTATAAGGATGTAGTACAGAAAGAAAGAAGGTTGTAAGGTCATTTTAATCTCACAGTTTAAGGGAAGACAAATAGTGTATACACACGCCATCGTAATAGATTCTGAGCCATGTCACCCAGAGTCAAATTGAGAACCAGTCGCCTGCTGGAACCCGGTAGGAATTAGAATCACGATTTATAGTTGATGGTTAGGGTTAGGAATTAGACTTCGGGATTCCATCACAAACTGACATCAGATAGAATGCCAGGACGCCGTTTAACCAGACGGACAAATAAATCTCGCGCCAATTTCCAAGACCTGTTATCCTGAATCTGATTGGTTCATCCATAAATAGTAATCTCACCGAAACACTTTTAGATCAAAATGCGTTACCTTAGCAACGGTTGGGAACTTACCGTAGCAGGATAATTTTTCGTACGGGTAGTTAGTGTCTTCAACGATGCTATTGTAGCACGCCTCTATTATCATATTCCCACGTGGTTTGTCCGGACCTTTAGATGAACAAATTATTTCTCATCTTCCCAATTATCACGTAGTTAGCCTTGCCATTGACTCATGTGTGTGACCTCGGGTGTGCTTTGTACATGTGTGTATGTTAGTGCGTATTTTCGTATACCTTTATCTCTTTCATGCTTATAAAGACTGAGTCACTTATTACTCATAGAGTTGGGTGTTTTTGTCCCACATGGATTTCTTTTCATCTCTTATCGTTCGCCTACTTTATCGAATGACAGAAATGTATGTCCTTCAAACACCTTCGTATTCGGCTTTTTAAATTTAGTTTTTTATTAGCGCGATATGTTGACAGGATATATATGAAGTAGTTAAGATATATATTTCGTGAACATCAATATAATTCAATCATACTTGGAGTTATACTACGGGTATTAAACTGCTTACAAATAAAGAAAACAGTAGTAAACTATTAAATTAGTACACCATTGGCCTCGTGATTGTCCAGTATCAAACGAAAGGTTGAAGAAACCCCCAAAAAGAATAGAGGCCATGTTTTGGCATCTTTAAACAACCGTGGATTGGATTCATGTTGTCAACTCGATAAAGTCAGTGCTTACTCAGATTATCAAGTCGTAGCTTTTTTGTGAGGTAAAAGGTTGTGAAACAACTGACTGTATGACAAACTATCCCGTCTACCATCTGTCCCGCCCCTTTTTTCTGGGTCTATTTCATATTAATCGTACAGCTAGTCTTAACAATCAGAATGTACTAAATCCCTTTTCTTATCTATAATCACCCTTCAAAATGCATGTTGAAGCTTCAATTGTTCAAACCCATTAGAATGTTGGATATCGGAAATAAAGGGTTATACTAGATGCAGTCCAACTTCTGTGTAATTGGATCCTCAGATTTATTAATTGGAGCAAGTGACCTTAACGCTTAATTAAGTAGATTAAAAAAGCAGAAAAACAAGAACCTATATCTTTTGGAAATCGATTTTAACCAAACAGATGAAGGTGCCCTGTCAACCGTCTATTCTTACAAACTTTCAAAATGTGAGAAATAATCGGCATCGACACATATCGATTAGCTAAAATGGACGACCATTTATGGGAATCAATAGAGAAGTACCACTTCTTCTTGGTCAGTTATTAATCATCTGTAAGTGAATGGACTGTCGAAAAGCAATGGGGATATAATCTACTCAGTGTTAGCATTGAGACAAAGGGTTAACAGTTGTATTACACGTATACTTTTCAGGAGCTCTACACGGTCTTAACTGGTATCTGACTTGAAGTGAGCCGTTCTTAATGCGTTATCTACATTAACACTCCTCAGCAGTGTCATAAATTCCTCTGATAGTTCTCATTTCGTCGAAAAATTGACGTTGAGTCAACACAGTCAGCAAGGGCCAAAATTATCACTCCAAAGTCTATATATATATATAGAATAGTCGTTCGTGGGCAATAGCTGTCCAGTACTACATAGTTAACTAGATGAAGTCAGTAATTGATATGAAACTGCGGGTAGTAAATGGCTTTGGAAACATTATCCATGAATATACACTCTTTGATCAAATGAAATAATCGACAAATTAATACGTAATTATAATTTGTCACAATTTTCATGTTCTGTTTTGATAATAATATTCATTAGTCATCTACGTAATTATTTGTCAACTTGCATAAATCGATAGATTATTTGTGTATTCACATACAAAGAATATTTTCCAGCTTACATAAGACTCATGCACAAACATACATTTAAAGACCATATGGTGTTTATCATAGATTTAAGCTTCAAGATGAAAACAACTGATATTTAGTGGTTGTTTTTGATTTTGATATAATTTTTTACAAAAATAATCCGACTGCTTACATGTTGTCTAGCGTATATATAATAACACTAAACATTTACATTCATTATCATGCATTTTTGATTGAAATCATGTATAAACAGCTTAAATAAGTTTGATTATTAGGTCACAAAAACGATGCTCTTATGATTGATTTCTATGATCGAAAATTTTTTTCAAGCACTTTGTAATGTAAACAAAAAGTATCAGAAAAGGGATTTGTAGGGAATAGTAATTTTAATAGTTGAATTCATGAGATAATCTAAGCCAGATTACTACTGTAACCCGGAAGCACTGGACAGACACTTCGTCCTCGCACGGGACTCTTAACCATCATGAATTCCACTACAATAATACGTCGTCGCAGCCCAATACGTAATCAAGGTTGTTCAGATGACAATTGATTAAATTGTGAAACAGTTCGTGAAGATGAGCACGTGTTTGGTAAATGCTTGTTCTGTGGCAAGTTTCACCCATGTAATTCATGTGTATTTCGTAATTCTAAATGCTTCAAGTGTGGTAAAACTGGACACATTCAGTTTGTAATGTCATGGTTTATTACGCGGAAACTAATGCTAAAATTTATGAATGGATGCTATTAAGGTGGGTGTTTCTAATGATCACTTATTTTTATCCAAGACTTCTGGAAGCGGTATAACGTCACATAACATAGCAGTTCAGAGTTGAATGAAACCTAGAATCACTGTGAGACAAAAGTTTCCGATCAACCAACTTCTTATCACATTTCTCGTGTTATTGTACCAGATGCGGTTTGTCATAATCAGTCACATATTTCTGATGAAATTGCTTACAACTCTGAGAACAATATATTGAATTGGTCAAATTATGATCAAGAACCAGATTCAGTTTTGGTAGATGCTGATTTTTCTAATGATCTATTATTCTTTAATGAAACTCTTAATAAATTCGAGGGAATAGCAAGTTTTCCTGAAGCAATCAGAGAACCAGTTTGCACAGGCAGAGAATCCAAATCAAGTCCAAGATTATCCTAATGAATATGAGGCAGATGCATGTTTTCCATTCGATTGTTTCGCAGATGAATCAAGCCTAAATGCATCACATGTGTTAATTACACATACTAATGCATATCTATCTGTGTATTCTAATATGAATAACAAAAAGAATATGTATCATAATTTTTATGCAAGTCGAAGTCCCACATTATGCAATACCTCAAATTGTATATCAGTGTGTATCCTCAAATACTCACATACAGTAATCGAAGCGTGAGATTTGATAAGATAATGCGAATTGAGAACGTCAAATTGGTTACAACATTGCGACGTAAGGATCCAACATTATTTCGTGGGGGAAGATAGTGTTGGAACGTCTATGATGCAAATTCTAGATGTCTGTGGTTACACTACACAACCGACATGATGATTGTATACAATTCCAGGAATCAGATGGGTCTGTTCCAATTTCAGTTGTTAATTCTAATACTAACGAGTGCATTTCAGGTACTACACAGTCTATATTCAATACACTCTCGAACGGACGTAAGATGAACTTAAGAAGAAGACGTACAATCCATTAAAGACACTAACACTCCAATTTGAACTGTGGAGGATGTGGTGTTTATATGAAACAATGATTTCTTTGTATTGATGACTGTTTTGATTTCCAATTCCAAATACAGTACATTCGTTTGTACTCATCTAATACTTCTTGATTAAATTGCATTATTCCTGGAATTACTAATTCATGCTTTTATTCAAATAATTTTGAATATCACATACGCATCCCTTGCAATTAGTAACCAGCTTAGATCAGATTGAAAGATACAGGACATCAATTTAATGAGGTTTTAGCATTCAAAGTAGTGTATCGAATCCTATCCAATCTATCCTATGCTTACACATTTTGTCTATTACACACATATGAAGTCATAGAAACCTAAGTCTAAACAGTTCACCCATAAAATATTTGTACGATCCCTTTCCGAGTCATGGCTATCACACTAATTCCAAGCATCGCCTTTTTTATCTTTACTGATATACAATTATTTTTAATAATTAACATATTAGTAATTGGAAAATGAGACTAACACTTTTTTCTTCGTTGTTCTTGTGTGGTTAACTCGAAGTAGCGAGCTAATATGCAAACCTAGTTTTACATTTTCTCTATCTTAACTC